TCTTAATGTTAGATCAGCTACTGACCTCATTACTTTTAAATCCTTGCTTAATTTATTTGCCTTGGCTTTTAATACAAAGTAGGGCCTGATTCATTCCTTTTAATTTATTGAATGTATGTCGTTTGTGTGTCTGTGCTATTGTGCTTTTTTTATTTTTGCACTGAGCCTATTTATTTTATTTTAGTTAGTATTGTGATTTTATTCTGCCCAGGTAAAGTATTTTGGTCCAATGGATGTTGTTTTTAAAGTGCTATATAAATGAATTTGATTTGATATAGGCATAAACCACTCAGTGATTTGTAGACTAGTAGCAGCACTTTAAGTTGTGCTCTGTATGTAAATGGAGTCATGTGCTCTGTTTTCTTGGTTCCGGTAAAAAACTCTGAACAAGCTGCAGCTTTTTATTAAGACCGGTTAAAATACCACTGAGTTAAAATACCACTGAGTTAAAATACCAAACCAGAGATAAAAGCATGGACGAGTGTTTCTTGACCTTTCTGAGACACGAGACCTGTGATTCTGGCCACATTTTTAAGATGGCAAAAGGCTGTTTTAGTAATTATGTTGATGTGGCTGTTAAAGGTGAGATCTGATTCTATCAGAACATCAAGATTTTGGACTTCAGAGCAAGACGTTTACTAGTGCTCATTTTCTTTTCTTTGTTGCCAAGCACAACAATTTATGCTTTATCCTTATGTAACTGAATTAAATATTGGCTCATCCAATTATTAATTTGCTCCAAACACTGACACAGTAAGTGTGCTGGGCTATAGTCACCTGATGAGAGAGCTAGATACATCTGTGTATCATCTGCATAGCAAAGTTGGGAAACTTAGGAACAACAGATGTCAAAGAACAGCAAAACAATCACCTCATGTGTACCCAAAATACAGTAGATGTGGTTTTCAGGTCTGAAACAACTTGTTTCCAATTCAGCACCAGATCCAGACTGACCCTGAACACGTCTGAACGTGCCCATATAAACAGACATGATACAGTATAGTAGCATATAAACAGAGCTGCATGCATCTGTTTTGGCCAATGTCAAGCCCATAAGAAGTTTAACAATATAATGTTAAAACATGTCATGTTAGTTGTGCATTTACCTCTCAGAGACAACAACTCACATTATGAATGATGGCATGTAAAATTGATTATGTTCTGTTTTTTGGATTTGTATCATGTGTGTTGCTCCTTTAATAAAGGAGAAAGTAATAGAACGGCATCTAAAAGCAACACCCAATGACATCGCTATTAGAGGAGACGACAGACCGAGGGAGAGAGATGGAAGAAGACAAGTGAGCAAGACAGAGAGAGAAGGATAAAGCTGGTCACAGTATTTTTAGTAACAATGTGTAAAGCCTGTTTATAGAGCTTCATATGGAGGGCGAGAGAAAGAGAAGTAATGAGCCGCAGATAAGTGTAGATATGAGTAAGAGAAAGAGAGAAGAATGACAAACTAAAGTGACTAAAGTTTAATTTGTGTGAAGGATAAAGAGACTAATAGCTCTGTGGTGAGAGAGGATAAAATATCAGTGCACAGTATATATATCATACTATGCCAGCTCTTCTTTATTATCTACTAATATCTTAACCTCCAGATTTGTAAAAATGTGATCACAATATGGCATTTCTAAAGATTAAAAACATGAAAGTGTGATTCTTCCATCTATATTGTGTTTGTGTCAAAGGAAGTAACAATTTTAAAAGTAAAAAATATGGACTCCATATTGGAGACGTGCCAGTTATGATTTTAAAAAAAAAGAACCATCTGCTGACAATATTTCTCTGGTTGCTGCCAGTCACGACACTGTTTGATGACACGTCATACATTGTGTTGCCAGCGTTCAATTAGCCTCATCTCAATCGATTCTGTCCATAAAATCCGATCTGTCATCTTCGCCATGTTGTTATGTTGTTTTCTTTGTAGTCGTGCAAGTGAGCAGAAGTACCTTCACACAGGATTGTAGAAAATTGGACCATGGACTTGCTCCCAGTGCAGACAGATGACCAAAACCTCTGACATGCCAGAAATTCGTCAAATTGTCCGAGAGCCAGATCATTGGTTGTGCGGGTGATTAATCAGGCACCAGGACTCACGTCAAACAACAACTGATTGGGCCGAGATTCAGCCCGATTCTAAAATTAGACCTGGTCGACTGATTCCAGACCGAAATGGGGCAGAATCTGATAGAGAGCAACAAAGAGACATAAAGCACACAAGGCTGGTGTGGATCCATGTGTGTTTTCAGAAAGAGTGAACGTAAGTCAGGGAAGGAGAGGATTAGTGAGAGAGTAGGATAAGGAGAGAAACAGAAAGGTGTGTGTGTGTGTGTGTGTGTGTGTGTGAGACAGAGAGAGGGAGAGAGAAGAAAGAATAAGCGAACAGGAAGAGCACTGAAACAGGAATAAAGCCGTGTACCACCGGGACTTCAACAAGCACTGCGCCATTTTACCGACTTCATCTATCACTATGCTCCAACCCCAGCAGCACTGTGTCTGTGTGTGTGTGTGTGTGTGTTTGTGTTGAGGATGGAGGGATGCTGTAGTCCAAACTCAAAGCGAGAGCTACACACAGCAACAAACACCACGACTGCATCGAGAAGCCTTCCTCAGCTTCCTGCCCTTTCTAAGATTAGAACAACAACACTGACTGTGGTCTTCAGTGGGTGAACTTTGAGTCATAGTAACCAGAAATTACCTCTTATGTGTTACTTTGTGTGGCAGGGTCAGACGGCTCCACTTGCATTTAAATTCTGGATATTCAGTTTTTCCCCTTATACGGATCAAAATCCTACTTTTCTTACAGCGCTTTACAGCATACAACATACTGCATGACATGCACTAAGGCCAGTGGTTTGGATAAGGGAACATGCAATAGTTGCAGCATGTGTAGAGTAGTCCTAGGCAGCTGTAAAAGAATTAGTGTGCAGAAAGAGATATTAGCAATGCTGCAACAACTTCAGAATAACAGCCACAAACTCACTGTCCTCTTCCCTGCTGTTTCACTGTGCTGACTTAATATCATGAGGCTACAGCAATGCTACTGTCTCTGTGAAACCGTATACTTTTTGAAGTGGCGCGTTGAGCTAAAAGCTAATGTTAGCTGCTAATATGCTCAAATTAACATTATATTATAGTAATATTCTGATATTTAGCAAACATAACATTTAACAGCTTAACATGTTAGAAAACTAACATTTTTACGGTAATTAACACTAAACCCAAAGGATGATGGGAAAGTTGGAGGCTTTTGGTCATATATCAAATTCTGACCTGATGACAGTACTAGATGGAAAGTGAAGTCAGGGAATGAATATATACCGATCTCATCTGGGTACTGTTACATTTTAGCAAATAAAAGGAGGAAACAATACATTTGTTTGGGACTGAATCCACATCTGGTGCTATAGTTGCCCCTGATGGTTAGAACCATCGGTTGAGTTGACGCCGTACATGGCTGCCTCGGTTCTGTACCAGAAACAGATTCCTTGGGTGTAACATGCTTGGCCAATAAAGGTGATTATCCTATTCTTATCCTTATAGAAGGTACTGGGGGCAGCAGGGCTGAGTCAAAGTAAACATCATGGTAATGAAGGAACCTGCCACCCAGTGCAACAGTGTGAATTACTGGTGCGTCTTTAAGGAGATCTGTGGCAAATACAGCATATACCCAGCTTTTAGTATATACACAGTGTCTAGACAAGAGCACTCAGAGAGTGCATGTACATCTGCCAAGGCCCAAATCACTCACTCAAATGGGTCCCTTGTGAAAAATGAGATCCAGAACAGCAGAAAAGTGTCCAGATCAGATCCAGATCATCTTGGAGGGTAAGACAGGCAGTTATACTGTGCATCTTACCTGAACGTCTCAGGAATCTATCTTCATTACAGGCCAAGTTATGGCAGAAAATATGTTAAATAGAGTTTAAATAGCTGTCAGATCTGAAATCCAGATCAGATCTGGATGAAATCTGGTTTGGTGATAGACCAATTATTTGTGACCTTGACCTTTGACCCTTTTCAGCCAAAATCTAATCACTTCTGGGGTTGGTCACCACCAAGGTCTGTACCAAGTATAATGATTATCCATCCAATGCACACACACGCTTCACAGAACCAATAACAAACCTCCGTGGTGGAAGGAAATATTATCAAATGTTTAACTTTTAAAAGCTGCATTTTTATTGATTTGTTTATTTATTTAAAACTTCCTCTTACTATATACAGTGGGTCATTTTAGAGAAATTCTGAATGTTATTATATTAAGGCAAATGTAAAGATATTGAGTGTGAAATGAATCTAACTAGTGTATTTTTGTGTACTTGTACGATGTAAACTCTGTTATACCCCAGGCCCTGTAGCAGGTTGACAAGCCTGATGCTTCTGGTGGATGATATTATTTATGCATTTTATGGATGTTAGAGAGGTGAGTGTGTCCCGGTTTTGGCAACACTCCTGGATGAAGTGGGTGCTGAGATCTCTCTCACACACACAGGTTCAGTGCTACCATATCTGCTTTGGGCCTTGTTGCTCTGTGAAGGTTGGTGGTTCACTTATATTAACACTAATGAATTTTCTGTGTAGTGAATGAGCAGAAATTTCTCTCCCGCCACTTACAAACAGGTACAGCGACATCGCTGTCATCGCGTCGTTATGCAAACGACTGTGGCGGTGATGTTCTCTTTCAGATGAAGTGTTGGGAATGGGAGACAGGCTCAATGAGGTGAAGACATTTCTAAACACTCAGCGGGCAGAAGGCTTTTAATTTTTGAAAGGAAATAAGAATGAAATTTCAGATGCGTCACCGATGTTTCAATTAATCGCATTGTTCAAGGCAACATTACTGGAGCCTAAATGCAGCTGTGATGAGATGTGACAGCTTCCATTAGCTTCCCAACCATTCACATCCACAATCAGACACAAGTGATGAACAAATAACATCAAAATCTACATGTCGAGCTGTATTACAAAGTGATATTAAGAATAACTGAGCTTACCATAGTTGTTTCAGCGATGGAGCCAAAACTGTTGATAAAAATGTTGCAGGTTACGTTTACAGGTGGACCTGAAGAGGGAGAAAGAGAGGGAAGACAGAGGAGTCAGATTTCATCAGAAACTTTAATCAGCCAACAAGGTAAACTAAATCAACTGACACACATAAAACACATGAAGAGTTGGAACCATTTACCACAGGAAACTCCAATAAACATGGTCGGAGTAAGAAAGAAAGGGCAACGCGATGTGTCAACATTTTCTGCAGTGGAAGTTTTTTTCTGATCCATCAGTTTGTCCCGATGTTGTCAAACACATTCATTCGACAACCTAAGGCACAGTCAATCTTTCTCTCGATCAATGTCATTTATGTTTATGAATTTTAACCTCTGAGGCTAAATTGACATGCTGTGTTGGTGTTGGTCGGTTGCTGGGGGGGGTCTTAGTCTGTGCTTCTGATTGCTAGAAGCAGCATAAACATTTCGTCTCTGATAACTCGGGCTCTTTAGTTGCTAAATGCCCCACTATGCTCATCAGCTACCCCTCAACTGTGCTGGTCTCCTGCCTGGTGCTGAGCAGGTGGTTCGCAGCAGTTATCCCAGGTTTTTCACTGAAATCATTCAGAGTGAGCCAACACTGTAAAACCAAAACAATTAGCTAAAATATGTTCAAACTGAGGAACCAAGTTGGGGGATAGCTGTCTGCTTTCTGCCTGTATAAGCTACATCTGCAGCATGTCATCCATACTTGTCCACATCTTGGTCATTTTTCAACGGTGTTCCCATTCTCTCCTGCAAAGCTCCGAAGGGCTTCATTTCTAATCGAGGAAGCAGCCGTTAATGAGAACGCCACCAGAGCAGCAGCCTTTGAATCACTGAAAAAATCTGAAATATGGATGATTCAAATGTCTGGATGCAGGTTAACTGAGCTCCTCTCCTCTGTTCACAAATATTCAAATACTCAAATACTGTAGTGTATACCATGAACTGACTCTCTGCAGACTAGCACTTTGTTGCATCTTTTAAAAATCTAATAGTCCTTTTTCTGGTGGATCAGCTCAGTAAAAAGCTAATATAGGGACCTAATATAGGGTGAAATCATAACAGCTGAAAAGATCACCAGGCCTGAATAAACAAGTCTGAATGTAAATCCTCTGACAGCGTCTAACTGCTTGACAACAGCTGGAAGTTGGTTCTAATGTCATAGGGAAGGAAAACATGTAAACATCTCATTACAACTTAAGAAAACCAGAGACACAAAAATCAATTTCACATCCCTTTTAAGACAGTCAACCTCGGGTGATATCAATAAACATGGAGTGTCATTTCAGCGGAAATCATAAAGACCAGAACAGTCCCTTCCTTGCTCTTCTCTCAGATGCTGCGTTCAAAGTTGTTGTCAGACGAGTGAGTCAAGGTGAAAGTAAATAGCATTCGGGCCTTTAGTGGCTGCCCCATCGATTCACTGTATTACCAGGTTGTACAAACACAAATGTGATTACTTGGCAGCAGAAGTGGAGCTGCAGTGAGGAGTGTGGAGGACAGCCAAGCTCCCATCTCTTTCAGGAACTGGACACGATACTGACTTTAAGAACTAAATCACAGTGAGTAACGTCTGAACTCTTCTCTTCCATGGTGGTCGCTGGTTGGATGATGACAGAGTCAGTTCTATCTCACCACCAGGAGTTACTAGCTAACAATTTTCACTTAAGAAAGAAGCATTATGCTGTTACAAACTAATGCTTTACCATCATTTGCAAGCTGACTGGTCACAAAACTCTACACATTTCATGTATAGAACTGAAAACCTATAAACAAAACACCACAATCGGTGGTTTATGAAATAAGCAGATCTGCCTACAAATATCAGGTACATTTTTGTAATCTGATTACTATTATCTCATTATATTCAATTCATTCTGCATCAGACCTTGTGTGTTAGTAAAAGGGTTTGTAATACTGAGCTGGATTACCAAATGTAATACTGTAATATACTGTAAGCCAAAAGGCTGGATCAGTCCGTTTCATACATGTTGACGTGACTTAAATTCAAACTGTGGCTGAGACAAACACACACCTACACACAGTTTGTGTTTAATGTCCCTGGATACACTCGGTTTGTAATTCCACTTGCCGATGGCGAGACTGAAGGAAGGGTCTGGGTTGTTTTGATGGCCAATTACTCTTCCTGTCACAGTCTGAGGACTGCTCATGGCCACTGGAGAGGCATATTATCTGAGAGCCATCCACACTCACATACACATGCATACACACCAGCACACAACTGTGGTTAAGCCATACAGTAGAATCATAGGGTTGAAGATGCATGGTTAAGAGGGGGAAAATAATTAAAGTTATCCAAAGGGAAACGTTCCTTATGTGACTTGCAATAGATGACTCAGAGGACAGCGTAAGGAATGGAGGATGAAGGGGACAGTCCTCCCCTAAAAAATGACTCTATAAGCTGCTGTGCAAGCAGCTTGTTACAGCCCATAGTTACACTTTACTGTTGGACAGCTACCAGTCAGTGTAGGTCATAGTAATTATGATGAAAAGACAGGAGAATGTCAGGTGATGTAGTATAAATAAGGACAGAGTCTGTCTAGACACAGGACCTTGACAAAGGAAACAGAGTTTCCCATTTCCAACCAACACTGGTCTCTGTTAACTGTGACCATCTGATACCTGTCCTAACCCTACCTTAATCAATTACTACAATCTTTCCCTTAAACTGTCTATACTTAACAAAACCATAACTCTTCTATAACCTTAACTATGTTTATTGTTGTAACTATGATGACAAAGGTCACGGCAGTGCTATTTCAGAAATGCTTCTATGGGTCATAGGAGAGGGAAGGGGCACCAAGCACAGGGGTCATAGAGGTTGGAGGACTTGTTCCTAACAAACCACACTGGCACACACCTGTTACAGTTCACTTTTTGGCCCTGTCACTTTCCACATTTTTCTTGGACCTGCACTGGAACCTTCCCTCCCAGTGACTTGTGATAAATCCCAGTTCCCTTGTTTGATTGTTCCTTGTTCCTCAATCCTTGCTATACCCAGAAGAAGCTCCATTGCACCATCTTGAAAGACGTCCCAATGCTTACTTATTCCTGCTCTGAGGACTGAGGAGGCTGCTGGAGGAGCCATGAGCGAGGATGCACAAAAGCATTCTTTGCAGAAGTCTTTTGTGCACAAGCATGTCCATCAGTTGCTGGTTGATCAGAGGAAGGGATATCATGTCTCTGAAAACGTATTTCCTCAATTCCTTTTTCCTCACCTCTTTTCCTGGCATCTTACAAGGGCAGGACTAAGATGCCAGGAAAAGCTGCAGGTGAGGAACTTAAGGGAATTGAGGTTTACCCCAGATATCCTCAGACTCTCATTTTTATTTAGTTATGTATATATTTAATACTTTTACCTTGAATTTTTTGTATTATGGATTTGTTGTCCAATTTTCAGCTGATCTCAGTGGCAGCTTTATTTAGTACCACAGGGGCTGAAACAAACATGACAACAAACAAACTGGGTGCAAACACAAGTCAAGATAAATGGACTCTAGAAGCTTCTTGGTGTAGCAAGGCTCCCCAAACCCAGTGAGCACAAACTCTGTTATGTCTGGGTGCATCAGAAGGTTTATCCATAAACCAGCTGGTATTACATTATGGCTGTATTTTCTCCCAGAACAGCTTTTCAGGCCTAACTCAAGTCCTCTGACACCTTTCTTCTGCATCCTGGCTTTGTTCAAAATCCCTCCTTGAAAGTCCTCTCACGCTGTGACAGGTGGGAGGCAAGATGAGGGATATCGTAATGTCTTTTCCTGACATTCCTCACAGCACGTGATGCAAAAACCAGTGGAGGAGGAGGAGGAGATAATACCCACAAAAAACTCCTCCTTCTGCTTTTCTACAACAGCAGTTTGTTTAATAAGCATCCAGTGAAGGAGAGAGAGGCAGTTGCTTTATAGCTTTCCAATAAAGACAGAAGACGGGGGTGCACCAAAAAAAGACTGCAAGGAGAAAGAAGCGACAGCTCATTAACTGTCATGGAGGACAGGCTGGCAGTGTGACTCACAGGCTACTGTAGCTGCACTCTTACATTTGCCTCAGTGTGTATAAGCCAAAAGGCCTGAGCTGTGCGTGCACTTGCACACACACACACACACACACACACACACAGATATGAGAAGACCCACAGCTATACAGTCCACATAGAATTATATATAGACTGAATAAACAGGCACGCAGACACATAAACATGGTAATACAAATATGAACAGGTTTAACACACACAACACACCATTTATATTGAACCGTAGCAAGAGAAGTGCAGGTGAAGCATGGAACTCAAAGATACATGCATGTAAAGTCAGACATACTGTATGCACAGAGCTTGCACACACACTTAATACACATTAACATACTTTTACTTTTAAACTCACTAGCTATTCTCTGAATGTTCTTGTGAGATAAATTTCTAGTCGACTAACTGTTGGCACGTAAGATGAAAAATTAATTTCACAGAATATAAACACACAAGCTACACACAGCAGAGGCCAATCACGGCCAGTGACTGTGCTCTAGTCCTGCCGAGGTGCATCGGCACAAATAAATTCTACCCTTCTTCAGCCGAACTCCACTTTCATTAAAAACAAGTGACAGCAGCAATAAAGCAGGATGAAACAAACGGGTCGGCTCGGTCTCTCAGCACTTCTGCTAACTGCAGCCACTGCAGCCTCTCACTGTAGAAACACTAAATGATCCCTGAGCTCTCAGGCTCTATGTGCATGATTTCCCTGTATGCCACAAGTCTGCGCTTGACTGTATCCTGACTGCATGTGTCTGGAAAATCGGACTTGTTTTCCAGAAATGTTCTGGAAGATTAAGGTTTCACTGGTTGGTTGAAAGATCTGACATGATATTATGGCATGGGGGGCTCAGTGGAGAATGAAATCCTTTCTGTTCATATCTTTTCTTACAGAGATTCAAATTCAGAAGTTTAATCATCATGCGATCAGTCCAAGAAACCCCTACACACCCAAATAAAGCCACTAGATTCAAACTACATTTTTTG